GGGCGTGGCCAAAAGTTAGGTTGCGCTCCTGAACATGATTGACGTTTGGTTATCTGTTTTTCGCATAAACAGCGTCACAAGGAAATAATGACACTTAGTAAATACAGATTACTTCCATTTATGATGAAAGTCGATCTTATGAAACAATAAAGTATTTTCTGCAGGGGTTCATCTGCAGCCTTGAACAAGGAGGAGGGGAGAAAGGAGGGCGGATTGGGGGTTTGAGTCTTGCCTCCGTGGCTGCTGGCCACTCCCTGGCTGAGGCCGGTTGCTCGGTAAATAGCTGGCGGGAGGAGCTGAAACGCCATCATCATCCTCACACACACACACACTGCCTGCAACCGCGCTGGGAGTGGAAAGTTGTCCTGTGGTGGGAGGGCTTTTATCACAGTAAGGGGGCTGTCAATGAAGCAGCACATGTGCCCATGTAAACACCACAGAGGGTGGAGTGAATCCAAAATAGACCCACCCCAGTCTGAAATCACTTAAGCGGCACTAAAGATGGTTTCACATCCCAGCAGCTCTCTTAATCATCATTCTAACACATTTCCTCATGCCATTAACTCATCTGACATAGAAAAAGTATTTCAAACATTGTAGAGAAAAATTAGAAAGTAGGTCTCATAGACATGTAGTATAAAACAATAGATACACATCAATTGATGCTTGACAAGTTTGTTCAAACACTTTATTCAATGATCTTTACAAACAAGGACTATAAAATTATATAAAAATATAAATGGTTGTGTCAAAAGTACACACATTTGTTACTTAAGTAGAAGTATAGATACTGCAGTTTAAAAACACTGGTAAAAGTTGAAGTATCAACTTGACCTCTTTACTCAAGTAAAAGTGAAAAGGTACGTGCTCCAAAAACTACTTAAAGTATAAAAGTATAAAGTGAACTTTAAAAAACAGCCAGATGCCGCTATATGAATTGAAAGCTCAATTTTTCGACTATTTCGAAAATTCTTTGAGATAGGATGAGGGATGAGGATGAGGGAGGTCTTGTTAGTCTCCATCTCCATCTCCCGATACGCTCTCGCCTGTGTCCGATGATTTCCTTTGGCATCCGCACAAATTAGACGAATAGCTCACCAATGAGTGTTTGTGTTATATCAGGGATCCCCAACCTCAGTCCTCGATGCCCACTGTCCTGCAGGTTTTAGAGGTTTCCTTTCTCCAGCACAGCTGATTTTAATTGAAAGCTGATTAACAGGCTTTTGGGCAACTGCAATCATTATAATCAGCTGTGCTAAAGCAGGGAAACCTCTAAAACCTGCAGGACAGCGGGCCTCGAAGACCAAGGTTGGGGATGCCTGTGTTATATGACTCATCCAATTACACTAGATATGGATGGCGCCAATGATCTGCATTGTATGGCGCACATGACGTGAAATAGATATTTATAAACATTAAACCGAAGCCAAGAGTAACTAGTAATGTTAGTTTTAAAAATGTAAGGAATAGAAAGTACAGATACTTGTGTGAAAATGTAATGAGTAGAAGTAGGAAGTAGGAAGAAAAATAAGTAATGGAGTAAACTATAGATACCTAAAAAGTGTACTTAAGTACAGTAACGAAGTATATGTACTTTGTTATTTGACACCTCTGATTAAGTTACAAAAAAAAAAACAATATCAAAGGGAGCTACAGGGTGGCACAGATTGACTTAGACTTAGACAATTTGTATTGTCATTTGTATACACAGAGTGTATATAAAACTAAATTTCATTTAGTACAGCTTTCAGTCAGTAAATGAACATTTACATTCCTTAAATTGCAGCAGTAATCAAATGTAAACAGTGTGAGAGAAAAAACAAAGTGCAAAAAATGCATTGATATGGAAGTTGAGAGCATTAACATATATGATGCACATATGCAGTATTTTTGGTTATGTGTTATCAGTATGATGCGGTTAGTGATTAGTGAGGTGGCGTTTAAAGTCCAGGTGAGGGTGTCTGTGATGTGCACCCACAGGAATTTGGTGCTGCTGACCACCTCTACAGCTGAGCTGTTGATGAGCAGTGTAGCGTGGTTAGGCCGGTTCTTCCTGAAGTCCAAGATGATCTCCTTCGTCTTCTCCACTTTTCAGGATCAGGCTGTTATCTTTGCACCAGTCCACCAGCTACCCCACCACTTCTCTGTAGTACTGTAGCATTGTAGCACTGTTGCTTCACAGAAGGAAGGTCCTAGATTTGATTCCTGGTCTGGGGGAAGTTTGCTCTCCCCCCTGCATGGGCTCTCTCTGGGGCATTGGTGACTCTAAAATGTTCTTAGGTGTATGTTGCATGGTTGTATGATGAACTGTATAAGGGACGCCCGGATGATCCAGTGTTTTTTATGGGGCCACAGAACAAAAGAATAATGCACACAAAAAAAAATAAATGCTTGAAAGAAACAGGGCAAGAACGCACCATTTAGTATATTTAGTCGGCCACAAAGCTAAAGTTGCAGTCTCCTGATCTAACAGATGAAAATTGTGATCCTATCTTATGACTGAAGCTTAAAGATATGCAACTTTACAATTATTGTTGAAGTAATTTGTTAAGGTGAAATATTAAATTGTTGAGAGAAAGAAACCAGTTAGTCTTTTCTATCAGTGCATGTCATCATAAGAAATTTTTGCGCTTAATTAACCAGAAGATTATGCCGATTTGCCAAAAGAATAAGTATGTTTGCTCTTCAAAATAAGATAATTAGTTATTATGCAGTTGAAATAATTTAATGGTTTTTCTATTTGAAACGTAAATCCACTTACTATGTTGGCATATTTCTGAAATCAAGGAAAAATTCACTTTTTTCAAGAAAAAAATTATGCATATTTGGATTTTTGCAGTGTATGTTTTCAGTGCAGGGGTCATAACAGGGACCATGACCTGTTCTACGGGGGCACTAGCGGGGTCTGTTGGCCCCTGTCTAGAACCGCCCATGCGTATGTCTCCATGTTGCCCTGCGTTGGACTGTTCCCCAACCTTTTGCCCATAGACTGTTGCCTTTTCATTTAAGAAAATGTTTAAAATATGTATTCTTTATAGCTATTTATTACATTTGTAGTGTTGACTTCAAAATCTTATTGGTGAAGAAGGAACCTGTAAGTGACAAAGTCTCATCAAAGAAAATAAGATGTGGAGGGGAACTTTTCAGTCTTGTTATGCTGCAGAAGACAGTCTCTTTGGGGTATTCTGTCTGAACTTGATATCTGAATTTAAGTTAAGCAGAACAAATCTTGCAGTCAAAATCCCTCAGAAGGAATCATCCAAGAGACTGAGTGCAAAGAGCACTAGACTGACTTAGTAGAGGAGACTTAAAAGAACGAGGTGGATTATGAATCCTTTTAAAGGGTGACCTTATGGATTAGCAGGTGTGCAAGGAGGCCCTAAAGAACCGTGCGAGCAGATCATTTAGAGATCATGTACATCAGAAGCATCCACCAAATGGACTCATGGCATTAGCCATCTATTTCTTGAAGCAAAAATCTGATCAAGTCAGATAAAAAACTTTTCAAGTTGTTATCAGCTGTTTATAACATAAAAGGTTGAAATTGTTATATAGGGTTTACTATAGCCTATATTATAATTGAGCACCAAAGTAATTAAGAGTCTTAAATAATTGCTAAATGTTCAAATCTGCTAAATAAAATTATGCATGGTGCATATGCAGGGCTGCCAACTTCTCACCAAACCTTGGGGTGAGAATTGTAAATAGTTTGGGCAGGAAACATTGTCAGAGGTCAGGTGCAGCTATAGGTTGTATGTTTTCAGAGGATCTAACTGAAACAAAGTGGCAAAATGTAGAATTTGTATTGCACAGTAAATGTTACTGAGTAACAATAAGTTGTCTGTAGTTCCCATAATATACATTATCTTCTACATTTTGGTGATTTTTAGAGAACTGAAGTAAAGCAGAATGTGCCGTCCTGAAATACTTGCATCTTAAATATACTTAAAACTGAGAATTTCACAACGTTGTTTAATAATTATTCTCTGCAGTTCAAGTAAATTAAACAATGAGGAACTACCAGCACTGATACAGGAACCAGCGTAATCGAAACCTGAGCAAACTACACTGTGTGTGATTATTTGGTAATAGGCTAAGGATTAAAAAGCTTAATTCATTATGTTATTAGTTTTTGTTACAATTGACAAAACGGCTGAACAATTCAGACCTCCTGGGAGGCTGTAGATTTTAGAAAAACTCACCATGACAGGAGACAGCACTTCTCTGGATGTTTCGGTTTGGAAGGTGTGATGGAAATTAAGTTCTTAAACATATTCAATGGACCAAAATAAAGATAAATGAATAAGAAAAGTAACAATAAAAAGAAAAACATCCCTGTGGATTTATCGTCTATGAATCCAGGATAAATGAGCTGGTCTTTTGAAAAATAAAATGCAATGGTTCTTTTTTTCTTTTTGTGGAGCTCATATGGGTTTGAGATGCAAACCTGAAGCTTTAAGAATTAAAATATTTCTGTTGGTTTAATTACTCCCAAATTCCAACTGGAGATTATTAAACTACACTGAAAAAAAATTATGCAAATGCTTTTGGCATTTACTTTATCATATTTAGTTACTTTAACACAATAGTTTTATGTCCAACCCATGAAACAAGTGTGTTAAAATAACTAACCAGGTTGATTAAGTTAATGCCAAAAACATTTGAAGTAGACAGAGCATTTATTATTTAACTTGTGAGGAAAAACATGGACTAAAACTGGGACTAAAAAAAGCACCAGGTAAAGAGGAAATAAACCATTGGATATTATCCTTTTTAGTGTGAGAAATTGGGAATATGGAGGTGACAGGAAACCCTAGATTAAAATTTAACTAAGCAATTACTCTGATGATACCATAATTTTGTTTTTCTGTTCTGGAAATCAAGTCAAACAGCAGCGTTTCCCCCCCTGACCTTTCCAGCAGCCTGTCAGAATGAGCGCCTGTTTCGCGCAGGATGTGCCGCGGCTGCGTCCCACGCCACGCAGATAACTGCACTCTGTCAAATGAGATGCAAAGTTACTTCCTCAGACAGACAGAAGCTGCCGATCGGCTTCACTTCAACCCTCCCGCGCTGTTTGAGCGACGCCATTCTGTGGAAATCAGCTCAAACTCCGGCAGCTTATCTCTGGGCGCATATCTGATGATAGAGGCCGGCCTGTTTCAGCAGCCCGATAAGAAGCTGCGGATGAAGTCGCTCCAAGTATCTGCAGCCTCAGTGAGTCCGGTTCAACAGGAAACCAGAGCAAGCCCGCCGCTGAAACACAACTGCAACCTGCAGCACTGAGCATGCAGGTAAAATCTATCTCTGTTCATTTCTCATTTTTGTGCAGAGATAGTTGAATACTTCAGCTCAACTTTTTACATTTTATTTCTACTTTCTTGGTCTTAACTTTGATTACCTTTAATATAGATTTTTGTCCTTTGAATGCTGTCCTTATATCTAAATGTAGTCATTTTTTAAATTGACCTATTAGTTAAATGATGCACATAGGCTCTTAGTTTTTGCTGGCATCACACACTTTGTTGATTAAAAAAGTGGCTCATAAAGATGGAGATAGAAGAGGCCAGGATAGAGCGGTGCAAATTTTAGAAGAGATAAGTTTCTTCTCCTGGTAAGTTAGTTTATGTATAAAGGTTTCTGATTCATAGCGTTTGTCCTTATGTGCCATAGGCTATTTGTTATGTTTCCCAAATCGGATTGGATTCTGAGTTGATGTGTCACCTTAGTTTTGTCTTGGTCCAAGTATATGTTCATCGTTCATTACATAGTAGTGTATAAGATGTTGTACTGTAGTCTAAACTTACAGCTACATGTTTAAACATAGAGGTACCTGTAATCTTACAGCTGAAATAATGCAATTGGGGATAGAATGGTAGTGGTGCCACATTTGGACTGAAAAACTTTCTAAAATTCAGCAAGAAACGTGAATTTAGGAAGTGTTTCCCCTGCCGTCTTCTATCCATTTGAAAAAGTTTAAATGGATTTTGTAAAGCCGATCTAGAAAGTTAGTGTATTGCATCATTGCCACTTTACTGCATTGATGCAATCATTTATCGTTAATTTGATAACTAGTTGTTTTGACATACGAAAGGAAATTGTGTCCATTCTTAATAGATTCCAGTTATTTTGCACTCAGCATTTTCCGGTTTGTCTGGTCAGATTCTCTAACTCTCTAACTGGTTGTCAGTAGGAGACTGACCTGAACAACAGGAATTTGGCAGTGAATAAAAAGAAGGTGTTATGCCAATAAAGCCTCAGCAATTCATATATGGTTTTAACTGCCTGTTAGCTGAATGGCAGCCATTCTGGTGAAATATGTCACCAGGATTGTGGTCACATTTTAATGTTGTGCCGGTCTATTTAATGTCGGTATTAAATAGACCATGTTGGCCTGCATGTTAATTCAGAAAGCTGGAGGTGTTATTTGGTTCTTTCTTTGCTTTTGGGTATGGTTTGTGATTTTGAAAAAGTAAAATGATATTCTTTGATGTCTAGAAATCTAGAATGACTGCCTTCAGTGTGTAGTACTTCCTATAAATGTCTGAGTTGTTACATGTGTTTTATGGTTTGGAGTATGCCAACAAAACATGTTTAAAAAAAAAAAAAATAGTTTGACCTTTCAGTTTGACCTGATCCACCCATTGAGGTTTGTTGATATTCTTGTTGTCACCCATGCCCTTCTCTTTTAGCTTTTCTATGCACTTTGGTGTGCAGTAGAAGCCATGGTCTTTATTCTCCTTGCTACGTTGGTGAGCTCCTTTAATTTCTCCCAACTAACCTGGTATATCTGATATGACCGATCACACCCATGGCCAATCAGGGAACAAATAAGCAAAGCAGTATCAGGAAAGCTTGCAAATCTAACTCACTGACGTTAATGTTTAGTTTTATTTAAAATAAAAAATCAACACCTTTTCTCCCTTTTGCAAAATAATGCAACATATCGATTACTAAAGTTACAGTTGAATAACCTAAATATAAAATTCTTTACTTATTACACAGAAAAACATCCTTTTTTTTTTCAAATTTTCTCTATATAAAGTAGCACTGGAAGCATAGCAAGATGGAATCAGTTGGTTAATGGGGCCATTCAGTCAACCCTGCAGCCAGAGTTGTTTTAAAGTAGGGTTACTTTAATAAGAACAATGGGTGGAGATCATTTGGTTTGATTATTTGTGTTTCTCCACAGAAAATATTTCCTAGCAGCCTAATTTGTCTATCTTATAAGTATGGGTCAGGTATAGAAAACTGATTTCAGTCAGATGTCCAGCCAGCTGTATGCATACTTTTTCAATAACCAAATTTTACTTTTAACCCCCTTTGGATGAGGTGGTTGCATCTGGTTTTTAATTGCAGCAAGAAAGTTCCAGGATCGATTCTTGGTCGAGGGTCTTTCTGCTTTGAGTTTGCATGTTCTCCCTGTGCATGTGTGGGTTCTCTCCAGGTACTCCGGCTTCCTTTCAAAGTCCAAAAACATGACTGTTAGGTTAATTGGCTTTTCTAAATTCTCCTTAGGTCGGAGTGAGTGTGTGTCCTTTTGCCTCTGTGTTGCCCTGCGATAGACTGGCGACCTATTCAGGGTGTACCCCGTCTTTCGCCCATAGACAGCTGGGGATAGGCACCATTTAATAATAACATTTTATTTGATTACAATGCTTTCAAATCCTAAAATCTTATAGCCTCAATCTAGTAAATTAAGCAGCATTTCAGACGTTAAACTTCTTTTATTTTTCTGTCTTCGTATTGCAGTTTTAACCCATGATGTTCTGCAGCTGTTTGTGAGTTGAGATGATGGATACGCCATCGTCCACCATCAGGCGGCGAGCCTGGATCAACAGCAGCCGACAGTGGCCAACTGTAGAAGATCCAGAGGGTCCGCTGTCAAACGTTGCAGCCTCAGCCTCCATAGCAGATGATGATGACGTCTTTTCTGATGGTTAGAGCAAAGACATTACTATGTGGAAAGCTCATTGCATTGTAGTTTTGAAGCAGGTTTTTTCTTTACTTTATAAAACTGAACAAGAAATTCGGTTTTTAAAGCATACCCTGTTTATTTTAGTAAGAGTACTTATATGTGTCATTTTCACAGCTGGCTTCACTGGAAAGATTGAGAACTGGCTGCTTGGTTGTGGGTGAGTCAAATTGTTTTGTTCTTTAATGAGCTCATAACTGCTTACTTTTAGCATTTTCCAGCTGTAAGATCTATATCACTGGAAACTACAGCAAACAACAGAACACAGAGTGGAAACTCTCTGAAGTCAGACGGTGCAGGAAGGTAGCTCTGTCAGGTTGCTACATAGAAATGTTTTTTTTCTTCTGCTGCAGTAGCCTGAGGTGATACATTCTTATAGTTCCAATGGAAACAGAGAATAAGAAAAGTAAGCTTGCAATCAACCACAAACTGAGCACACAAAGGTGGCTTTCTCCTAAGTTAGTTTTTTTTTGTTGTCGTTGGTTTACCAATGCTTATAAGATTTAAAAGAAAACAAAAGGCTATTAAAAAAAAGTATAATCGTCGTATTTAAAGTTACCTTTTGGTTTAAGTTGAAAGAAATACAAATTTCCTTTGTGTTTAACTAAAATAACCGTTGGAAGCAGGAACAATATTTTATTGCTTTAAATGTCATTGGGAAAGAAACACTTATGAAATACAGAAACAGGCTAGATGACAGTAAATCATCATCTACTGTAAGTGGGGCCCTGAAACCCCTGCCGGGAGCATTAGAGAATGGCTGAATGTGGTTGAATGCTTTCTCAGAAGTGAAAACGAAAATAAGCTGTTTGGCTTAGCGTTAACCTGAATGCTAATACTTCTACAAGAGGAAGTTGCAAGACCTCAGCAGCCAATTGAAAACTGCTGGTTATAAAGTGTCCAAAAAAAACTTTCACTGTAACCTTAGCTGCTTACATTTGTTACATTAAGCCAGAAATGCAAACAACACCCCACGTTTGATAGAAGCATGCAAATGAAACAGGCTTAATTTGTGTGTTCATGTTATGTGTTTAAAACTGCAATGTGTTTCACAGATCTGATGTCAGCTTGGCGAACAAAGGCCAGCTAAGTTTTGGTGAGATATGTCCCTTGCTATTACCTACTAGATATTATTTTGCTTGAAAAAATGGAAACTAAAAATCAAAATGTATTCAAATGTTTATAGTTTAGTAAAACTCATATTTGTCATTTTCATGTAGAGTTTTTACTTGAAAACTTCTTCAACCTGTGTTTAATAGCAGAATTATGTAAAATGTTTTTAGTAATATATTACCTGATCTATGTTTAGAATTTAACTGATGATCCTCATTCAACTTAATGAGGAAAGGAATTTATAAATGTGATAACTTAATATGACATAAGGTTGAATTGCAGGATAAACACAGTTTTCCAGATTCAGTATCATGTTCACTCAGATGAGCTCATATTGTAAATGCACACATTGAATAAATGCAAATGCTGCAGATATTTAAGCCAATATCCCTAGTTTACATTTTGCATGCAGCATTTGCATGATGTCTAATTTAGAACACAAATAAATCACATTTTAATATCTGATTACCCTTTTTAGACTCTGCACTTCAAGCTAACACCTGTTCTGATGATCTAAGTCTTGGAGCTGATGGTAAGTTCATACATGAACTCAAACACAAATGTCACTTTATTCTTCGAAGTATGTTACAAATGATAATTTGTACCAATGTGTTTCACAGCAGGAAGAGAAAAATTGTAAAAAGAAAATCAAAAATAATAACATAAATATAAAAAAGGTTAAGATATCAAGTTGTATTTCATTTAAAAGCCTATAAATTCATATCGCAAACAGTTTCTATTTGCTCAAAGGGAAATATTTGGTTATCTGAAACATGACTTGGCTGTTAAACTGTATTGGCAGATGCAGACAGGTAAGAGGAAGTAATGACCCAGCAAATGTTTTAAATAGGCAAATGGTTTGGTCATGGTTATTTTTAAACTCCATTAATGCATCAGCATGCAGGATTTTTTTTACACCTAAAATAGAAGCTATCCACATTTTCTTATCAGACTATTTTTTGTCCTTGCATACTAGTTTTTATGCAATGGTGATTTCCGAAGGATTAAATAACAGTTATGATAAAAGAATAACTAAAAGGATAAAAAAGATCAACATTAAGGCATGAAGTTGCTTCATTTTGTGGATTAGGAAAGAACAGAGTGTAAAAGAACTTAGTGGAAATCCCACAGCTCTAGCTCTATGAGAACTGGTGGTATTTGAAGTTATCTGAGCATCGTTTAAATCTAACAAAAAAACAAACTTTCATAGTTTGGACACAGATGTTTTGTTTATTTTTCAGATTAACTCTGACGATTCACTATTAAATCTAGGTCATAGATTACGATGATTTTGTTTGAGCTGTTTTGTCACACTAAAACAGTTTTCAATATCAAACAAATTTGGATATCATACATAGATGTTTGAATTAAATACCAAATTTAGCTTTTAAAACATGTTTAATAAATATAAGACCTGTGTTATCAATACAATGCTTAAATAAAACCTCTGAAAACAGGAGGTAGGTTAAAAGATTTGAAAAAAACATGTAATGTTTATTTTATTTTCTCAGCCTCTGTTTTAAACTTTGGGGAAACTCCAAAAACCTGTGGGTAAGTAGAAACTATTTACTGTTTAAACTGTTTTCTACACATCTCATCAGATCATAACTGATGGGATTTAGTCTTTAATGTCCAAAATAATTACGTTATTATTATCAAAAATGCAGGTTTTATGGCACAGCAATGTGGTAGAATTTCTCTAGAAATTATTACTAGATATTATTACTAGAATTTGTGTGGTAAATAAAGTTAATGCACGGTATAGTTTATCTGATCACATTAAATTGATCACTATATGGAAATCTACCCAACACCTTCAAATGAATCTAAATATACTAAAGCATTTTTTCAAAACTGTTGTTGATTGGTCGGTTTGCTTATTTTTATTTCTTGTTTATCATGGCCAGGCAACCTTTTCTCACAAAACAGCCCAGCAGGATCAGGAGCAGGTTTGTTGTTTACTCCATCCTCAAACTCAGAATATATGCAGTATATTCTGGTATTAGTTCCAGAGAGCTTGTTAATTCATTTGTCCCTGCTTTGATAGTTTGACTATCATAACGATTCACACATCTGATTTTTAGTGCACCCCGTCAGAAACTATGCCCACCATCATTGAACCTGGGCCACAGCATGGCCTCCAGCTGCCTTTCCTCCTCCACTTGGAAAACCGTGTCAAGGTGAGGCTGGAAAATTGTAAAATGCCATAGAAATATTATTTTGTATAGATTTTTTTGACTGATTTGGCTTAATAACTGCTCTCATTAAATTGTTGTTTCAGTAAATGATCTTTGTTCTCCATCTAAATACTTTTTGATCTCTAAATTAGCTGAAGGTCATTTTTCAATGGTTGATTAACCAGTTTATCCGAACAGCTGTTTTAGCACCACATTGTTTAGAGGGTTGTGAAGGTTTTTCTGAAGTTTTGAGGGGGTTTAAAATGTGAAAAACAGTCAAGCGCATTGATAACACGGTTTTCAAACCTGCTGTTGGTACTTTTGGCAGTCATAGCTGCCAAGGCCTGTTGGAAAATGAAATCCTCCTCTCCATAGGGCTTTTCAGCAGAGGGATACATTAAGTGCTCTAAATCCTGGTGATGGTTGCATGTATCTTTGACCTCATAAAACACTGTGGACCACCACCACAGATTTTGTGCCTTTACAAGCTTTGGGTTTTGAAAAGAAATGGGTAATTCACATTCCTCTGAAGAGAGGACTTTGGACCTGAGAAACAAAACAAAACCGTTATTTTTCTGTTTAGCCTGGCTGAGACATTTTTGAGGTTGTCTCTGGTTAATAAGTTGATGTAACATGATACAATGAATCCTGTTGGTTGATCCTCATGTCTTTGAAACGTAAGTGTTGTGGCTCCTGGAGCTCTGAGTCTAGGCACAGCTCACACCCTGTCAATCGGCTCCAACTACCGTACATAAATTGGTTTTGTTTTGCCGTTTAGTTAAAGCTGTGGTTCCACCTTTTATTTATAAATTCTCTTTTGCCAAGCTTAAATTTCATATCTATGCTGCTGTATGCATATCTATATAACATGCAGCAAAGTCACAAATGACTTTAGCAGGTTACTTATACAGAATGATAAGCAGATACAGATAATATAAATAAAACAAAAATAAATAAATAAAGTAACTGGATTCTCTACTAAGAAGAAAAAGATGAGAACAGAAATGGGCTTTTTTCAGCTTTGCATTGTTTTGCTTGGACAGAGTCTGCTTTTCTAGTAATGAACTGGAAAACTCCAGTCAGAAGTTCTCCCTATTACTGTGTTGGTCTTAACATCCCATTTGTGTATTTTAAAGCATTTTCTTATCAGTCTAGTGTAAAATTCATTTTTCTGATGAATTGTTGTAGTGGTTGCAAGTATAAATCCATGAAATTAACCGGAAATGCTTGAATATCTCTGTATATATAAAACCAAGTTTCATTTTAAAATACATTTTTGAAATTAATCAATGTTGTGATTCTTATTATTTCAAATAAACCTGTATATGTGTGTGGGGGGTTTCTTTCAGTGTGTCAGAGGTTTTGCAAATCTACTCAGAGGATGCAGAGGAGACTCTATATGAGCTTGGTTTTGGCTGTGAAGAACCTCAGGTCACTGTACGCATCCCACCACGATTCTTTACCTTCCCCTCTCAGGCTCAGGGCATCAACTTTCGCCTCTTCCTGGATGCCCAGATCCGCCGTATAAGAGAGGAAGACCCCAGCCTTTCACTTGCTAGTATGGATTCGTTACATCTCTCTATCTATATGTCAGTGGAGTCAGCTTGTTTGTTAGATGTGTGAAGCAGTGAAATTGTTGCCAACTGTTTGTTAAAATACTATTCTTCTCACAGGTCGCTTCAGACAAGTGCAAGTTCTCACAGCCATGGCCAATGCCTTCTATTCCCTCTACTCCCACGTGTCTCGGACTCCCCTCCAGAAGCTGGCCACACCGGAGTTCACCTTCTCATCTCCAGTGGAGAGGATGGAACGGTTTAGGACCAGCATCCGCAGCGAGCCTCGCTCTCCTGTGGAGAGGCTAAAGGACACTGTGAACAAGATGTGCCTTTACACCGGCTCTCCACGGGGGTCGGAGTCCACCTCTCCACAGCCATCACCCAGAAAGAGATCCAGCCTTCCTGAAGTGGTGGATATAATGCTGAGATCCAAGACTGGGAGTGCTAAGAAGCTGGATTTGGGGGGAAATGACAGGTGTGGATCTTGTGGGGATTTGAGTCTGCTAATAGATAGTGAAGATATGGAGAAAACGCAGCCGACTGTAGCGGATACAGACTTTTATCAGCGGGGAAATAAAAGCCTCGAGGAGACACTGGACACTAAACATGCAGATAATGCTGATCATTTCTTCCAAGCAGATGACGTGAGAACATCTCTAACGTCATCTTTATCAGGAGAAACTGTGATAGAAACAGCGACTCTGTTGGCTTTGGATCAGGACTCATGTTTGACACCAAGTGACACAAGGACAGGTGGGCTGAATCCTGGAGCCAAAGTAGCATATGATCTAGTCTGCCCTCAAATCGTGGAGAGTGTACATCGAGCTCCTTTTTCCTGTCAGAACAAGAACCGATTCATCCATATCACTCGGACATCAAGTAGAGATCGGCCGTGTTCTCCATCACAGAAACCTGCACAAGAAATCCTTTCCTCTGAGCCAGATGAGGACCAACCCCTGGAGGGATCCGGATCACATAGTGTTCAGGAGCCCAGTGGCAGCTCCGCTCCCTGCAGCATCACTGTGACTGGTTTGGAAGATGAGGATGTGTTCTCTACTTCCATTAACTCCTGCCATGCCTCACCTGCCTCCTCCAAGCGGAAACCCGCGGAGCCATTCAATGAGGAAGAGGGAAAGTACCTGAACCCTTTAACACATCCAAGCCTAGGCAAATTCTCCGGTAACCATCAGCATGTCAACTCGTTTGAGCTGGAGGAGGTACAGAAACTTTTAGGCCTTTTAAAATCCAATAAACACAGTATGATAGTGAGTTTAAATTGTGCTTTTTGTGCCTTAGTTGATTTCTCTGGAATGTAGGAAGTTTTAGTAATCTGAACCCAATGGATGAGGCAGTCTAATAACAATCATCAGTCTGTCAATGTTTAACTAAACTATATTTATTAGTAGGTATGGAATGCTGAGAACCCTATAAAAAGGACCTTCAGTCTATAGATCTAAGTTTCTTCTTGAATTTGATCCTCATACTTAGTTTTGGCTTCTCATTTATTATTTGTTGTGGTATAATTTTTCTTTTACAAGCTTAGAACATTGAAGAGCAAAACACAAAAACAAAGCAAGAGAAATCAAATAAAATTCAAAACTAATAGTAATAGAAATTTGAATCATAAAAGAGCAACAATTGTATGAGTTCAATATAAACTTAAATCTAAAAAAGTTTGTGTTAAAAGACTCTGGTTCATGTTACCGCCTCCACCACTTTGACCCAGTATTTGGTCTCTTCTGCTTCTACCACTACCCACATTATGGCATCAATTTATCAACTGATTTGATTCTATATGAAAAATGCACTGAGCAAAAACCTTTCTGAAATATGACAGATAACGACCCTCTGCCCGAACCAAATTAACTCTTACTCTGCAAAAAATATCAATCTAAGTATTTTTTTCTGAAAATAGGGGATTTTATTTCTTTAATTTAGCAGATAAGTGAGACACATTACCAATCAAATAAGACAATTTACATTTAAAATAAGAAAAAACAACTGCAGTGTCTTATTTCAAGCGCATAATATCTCATTATTTTTTTAAGGGTAAAAATACTAATTTCAGTGGCAGCTCATCTTATGTACATACTCAAATTAAGGATAAATACATATTTTAGGACTTTTTTTCTGATTTTTCAGAACATTTTTGCTGTGACCTCCCAGTGAAACATAACAGAAGTAAAAAAAATCTTTTTTTGTTCTTGTCAAAGCAGTGCAGAGCCCTTTTCATCTACTGACATAATTTCCTCCCTGAAATCATAATTTCGCAGAAAGCACTAAAATAGTTTCAATTTTACGTTTTTTTATTTTATTACTGGAATACAGGGAAAATCTGGGAGCTAGTAAACAAAGAAAAAAAAAAGAGCTTAACTTAGCATATTTAGTGGTTTCTTTATTCAACTTGGTTAAACAAAATGTATCTTTGTTAAATATGTTTGAACCCCTCTGCCTCAATAGGTGCATAGTGCAGGGGAGGAAGATTTTGGACAACCAGACACTGCAACAGTCACTTCATCACACTCCAGGAAACATTCGAACAAAGGTAACACATTTTTATTTTTGACTTTTTGCATCAAAACTTGACAAAACCAATGTTTCCTTTATACATTTTGGTCTGTAAACATTCTAGCGCCATGACAGCTGACATGAACGAGTGAGAAAAGGATGTTATCAGCTTACGCTTCAACAGCCGCCTATGTGTTAAACATGTTTGCAAGTTTTATTTATCTGCTTCTTCTTTCTCGGTTAAAGAAAATGTTATTAATTAAAGGCTCATTTTAGGGCATCATCAATTCATTTGTTGCGGTCAGCTAAGTGATTCTGACAGCAGCTGTTTTGCTGCCTGTCCACAGATGAGTAAAGTTGATAGAAATATCCCAAAGACTTGCAGCTGTAATTGCTGTGAATATGCATCAGGAGGGAGAACATAAATGCAAGCTACATAATTCAGATTTTCTTATAAAAAAAAACAGGTATTATTACTCAACTGTTTACTACTTTGTTTTAGTAAATAACATAACAAACACATAACAAATGAGGAAATTTGATGGGATTTGAACACTTTCTAATGTTGTGGAAGCGTGAGAGGCACATCTGTATACAGGTCACTGAGCAGGTGTCTTCTTCAAGGGGAAGCAATGCTTTTTCCTTTGCAAAATTCGGGTTAGACTGCAGCTGCTATGCAGTTTGTAGTTTGCAGAACCTGGAGAAGAGCTGAATGTTTTCCTCTGCTGGCTGTGTAGGTGAAGTGGTCCGAGGTGACAGCATGCAGTCCGACAGCAGCGGCTACGCAGATGAAGAAGTCATCCCGTCACCGGACAGACACAGCAGGTGACGCAGAGGAACGGCAGGACTGAAGCTTACGACAGGAAATGGAAACCTTTTCAGCTTCCAACGTGGATCTGAGCACTGACTTTACATAAACTCTCTTAAAATGTAAAGGATCCATTCCTCTCACCATTATGTATTTGTCTTGTCTGGAGGCAGCCTTTGTTTGTTAGCCTGATGCATAATTTGACCTTACTGGAAATCTTTATCACCCCATTCGCATATACACCGGGTTATAGAAACTATCATGCTAAACTGGAAACAGTAAGGTGCATTTACTGAAGGGCAAAGAGTAAGATGAGCATTTTATGGGATTCAGTTTATGATAATGTAGGGAAGCTAGACTTCCCAGCATCCAAGGGGGTTGGGGGTTGACAGACACTTTGGCTCTTTTTGACTGCTTTCATAGTCTGTTTTCATGCAGCTATTTTTTTATGTTTAAGGGGGCTACTCAAAAATAAACTAAAAAAACAACATGCTTGTATGAAATGGTAAATGCCCTGTAGTAGAATAGAGGTTATTGAGTCCTGCCCTCAGCCTCACTGACGCATCTAAAGTGCTCAAGACCACAACAGCTGAGGCGGACGGACTGAGGCTCCAACCGGCAGCACAAACTCCTGCAACCTACGCTACTGTGTTCCCCACAAAAACATAAGAAAAAAGAAAAACAAAGACTTGGACAGCGGGATGTGATGGAATAGACTTTTAATCAGGGTAAAAAACAGCCTTAAATCTTACAAAAATGTTTTTGATATCAACGATGTCCATTAAACCTCATATTTGTATTTTTACATATAAAAGTGCCTACACAGACAGCAACCAAATTTAAATAAAAACTGGCTTTTAACTTCCTTGTTTTAATGATTAGGAAAAACCCAAAATTGTTTGCATACCTGCCTTTTCTAACAATGGTTACAACATACAGAAATGTCCCACTTTGCACAGTCACATACAATAGAAGAGAGTTACAAATCTATTTACCAATACATAATGCAGTAGTTACAGATTATGGTGAAACAGACAAATAGAGAGTGAGCAGAACAGCACTGCTTTCTCATCATCACAGTTAAAGTGAAAAAAACAAAAAATGTGACAGTGATGATAATTACATGCATAACTTGGTAGAGGTAATAATTTGGTATTTGAATTTTGAAAGTCCGGTTCAACACATATGTTATAAGTGTGCTTCGGTGGCACAGTGGTTTACACGTGCGACCAATGTATGGAGGCCTTTAGTCCTCCACATAGCTGACCCGGGATCCAATCTGACCTGTGGTCCTTGGTCACATGTCCCCCACTTTCATGTCAGCCCACTATATAAAAAACAAACAGCCACTAGTGATTTAAAAACCCTAATAAAACAAACTTTTTCTTTACAAACTACGCTAAGGTTGCTGACTGTAAAGGACATCCTAGAAGTATGCAGGATTTATTTCAGGGTCATTACATCCATAATATTTGATAATCCAAAGCTGTTTCAACAGGATCTACACATGCGTGCAAACCTGTAATCACAGCTTTCTTCCCCTCCAACATCTTAAATTTGGATTGTGCAAAATATGTAATTTTTCATGCAGGAAAAAAGGGTTTAAATAGTTTTTGATGTTCTAATTATTTATATTATAAAAACATGCCATTTAACAAGGGTGTGTACACCACTAAGAGCCACTGGATAGAAAGTTATAGCTTTGAGTTTTAGAGTAAATGTACTTCAAAAAATGTGCATACACTAATCTTCGATTAAGGTGATGCTTATGATTTTTCTAAGGACAGTTCAGATTCTGCACCGTTCATTTATTTACAGCTCTGGTAAGAAGATGCCAAACTTTTAACTGCAGTAGCACATCTATCTACTGTGACTGTGAGGGGAATGTCCAGACATTGACCCTATATCAGCCTGAATTGGTTATTTCTCTGACTCTACAGGGGACTTTTTATTGTCATTCTCTTACGTGTGAAGATTTATTCACCTCTTACAAACTTTAATTACATGTTGTATTGTTTTTCCCATTCTAAAGAGTGGCTAATAAAATGATATTTATACCCCCATTGTAAACTAGGCCGTCATGGATTACTATTTAGAAGTTTGTGGAAACTCATCAATATAAATAACAGAAGGATCATTTAATATTACCCTTTAAAGGAAAAGTCAGTGGCACCAGGAGACGTTGCACAAATATATTTCTTGCAGACTCCAATATGGGTTGGAGCTTTCTATATGTTCCTGCATGTGCAATAAAGGATTGATGTTTTCTTTTTCTTTTTAACAAATCTGTACCAGTGGTTGCAATAAATGTTTCTAAAGTACACAGCACAGCTGACTTCATGATCTAAAGCACCCAGAAAAATGACGGTGATAACAGTGACAGGAGTCTGACCTTTAAAAACCTATGGAAGCTCATTTAAAGGAGAGAAGCTAAGCGAATTACATTTCATGACAGAGAAGAGTGTTTCTCTTGCATGCATTTGTAAGAATTGTATCGTGTTAGTGTAACTGGGGAGTTTTGTGTTGAGAGCTTCTGGAATGTGGGTTGTATGTGTGTGTTGAGCAAGGGGCGGTGTGTACTGTTATACGTGGCGTGGTTACCTGGAGAAACATGACCCGGATGTTACGTGAACCGGAAGTGGAATACACTGGCAGCCGGCGTGCTCCGGTGTGTTAGAACGAAGTGAATGGCTTTATCGCTTTATTAAGAAATTCGGCTGAAAGTTAAGTTGCAACAGTTAGACTAATAAATAGAATGTTACCTCTAAAGCCGTCATTCCTAAGTAAGAAAATATTTTGTACATTAGAACAATTAGTGACAAATATTCAAAATTGTACAAAGATGTGTTGATGAATCTTAGGCAATAAAAACAACAGTGGCACATGTAAGGACTAAAGGAAAGTACTTCATTTGTTAATTTTAGAGCAGAAAAAAGTCTCTCAATGTAGAATCTGAGGTTTCTTTCGTGTTTGTTTCCTTTTTTTTCATGTCACAAAAAATACCGCCTTTGTCCAAAAAGGAGAAGTTTGTTGGCATTTAGTGTGGTGGTGCGTCTGCGGAGAGGAAAACCGAGCAGGTCTGTCATTTCCCTCCTGCCATGATTTTTAAGTACTGCAGTGCATTGTGGGCCGCGTTGGCGCGTGCAGCATCTACGTTCTGGGCGAAACCATGGCATACTGTGATTGGCTGCGTGGACAGCTCTACCAGACATTGACACAGGCCGCTGAGGCTGCGCTCCTCTAAAACAAAACAGAGAAACAGGAGAGCAACACATTATCAGGGTCAGTTTTCATATAAATTTCAGAATTGAAAACTGTTTTAGAAAAAGATGAGACCATTTTAGCTTAGCAAACACAACCATGTTTTGTATTCATCACACCATTATTACTGATGTCTCCATTTTAATTACATCCAAGGAAAAGCAGTTTGTATTTCTCTGCACATTTTTATTTTCCATTGGTTTAATTTCCAGTCAAGGCAATCAGGATTAACAACAGAAAGGAGAACAAAGTTTTAAAAGTTAACCAGACGAAACCTGAAGTGTTTAAGGGCTATGCACAAACAAATATGCTGCAGCCTGTAGAGTCATAAAGTGCTATAATATCCTCCTGGGAGGTCAGTTTTTTAAAGTACACTGCAGTTTAAGTCTTTTGTGGTTTCTAGAGGTAAGGGCATCGAGCTTGGAATCCTGAGGTTCTGAGTTCGAGCCCCGCTCCCAGAGACTGCCACTCTGGGTCCCTGAGCAAAGACCCTTAACTCCACACTGCTCCCTGGGTGCCCCACGACGGCAGCCCACTGCTCCCCAAGGGTAGAGGTAGAGGTACATTTTTCCAATTAGAGATCAGTAAAGTTTAATTATTATTATTTTATTAAAAGGTTTTCTTTCAGGATTGTCCAAGATGTATCCCTTCTTAACAACTTTAACCACCTTCAGTCATAAATGATAATCTCACAGCCGTTTTCCACCATAAAACATCTTTTCAGGGTGTTTCCTAACACACACATTGTCCCTAGGGCTGGGCGATATGAAGAAAATCTAACATGATATATTTGGGCTATAATCACGATACACAATATATATCACAATATGTTTAAATCAACCTCAAGAACAATAGAGAACATAAAGTTGCACGGATATACTCATTCAAACTGACATGCAAATATATTTGGTTTTAAATTGAGAAGGATTCAGTGGTACTTTGTGAAAACTTAGGGTGTTTTCTAACCGCATTAATATCAAAATCCCAAATTCCAATGAAATGCCTTCAGCTTTCTGGTTGCAATGTGGAAAATGCACCGACAACACAAGATGTGTGAAAATCTTTGCAACGACTGGGTCAGGTTAACGACACATTAGGCTGAATCATGTCAACAGCTTTAAACCTCCAGTGTGGTAGGACATCGGTACAATGCTGAGGTGAATGTAGCTCTGACAGTCGGCATTCAGGGGCTCACCTAGATCAAGGTAGCTGACGTCAAAGCGCTGCTCTGCAGAAAGGTCGCTCAGCAGGGAGCAGAAATTGGAGTCAGCGGGCATTCCCAGAGGGTGGCTGCGGAGCTGGAGGATCTTCTCTCCAGCAGAGTTACGCAGAGAGTCCCACGTGCAGCTGTAGCCTTTACTTTTACCCGACTCCACTCTGCCTCCCATGTGCTTTAAATACAGGAGGGCAGGATCAGTTGGCACACAGGCTCATTTTCCCAAAAAGCAGTATCAATCATGCCTACCACAGCTAATGGAATAGCTTTTGTTTTTGTGACTGGTTCTTAAATGCTAAATCTTTTCTATACTGATTAATCCCATTTGATGATCTTTATTAACTGTAAGAGGTTTTGCATCATTCTTACAATATTAAATGTGTCTTCCTCAGCCTCAGCATCATTAGTGCTTCTCAGATCCACCGGCACGTCATGTATCCGGGAAAGCATTTTGGCGGCTGCATTTCTCTTGGCCAGCTTCTTAGACGTGCCGCTTCCTGAACATAAATAAAATAAAAAATAAAATATTAACTACTTTTTATCCAGTGGGACATAAAACTGTAAAAATTATATATTTATTTGCATGACAGGAGCTCCAATTTAACCACCAAGCTCCCTGGATCAAATAACCTAATATACAAGTTGTATGAAGACAAGGTCTAATTACCATGAAAAATAAAAATTCACGGTTTGATCCAGACTAAAAGCTCATGAGGGGTATAAGTTGATCATTTTAAAACGTACCGATTTCTACAAATCTCTCGACTCTGCAGGTCATGGTGAACTCCTTGCGATGCGCTGGACCAGACTCTTGGGTGACTGTGTACTCTGGCAAACGCCATCCTTTCTGCACCACTAACTCCTGACACAGAAATCAAACACAAAAGAGATACAAAAGGACAGCTTATGAAAAGGGAAAATAATGTGTGTTACAGAAATTGGAGGTTTCTCATGCTATAGACAGAATAGTCATAGGAAACTCTGCTGACATGATAGTAACAGAATTTCAGGCTTTGATTAGCTGTAATCAAACCACATCATCATTCAATGTAATACATTTATTATACATAAATAATGTATAATGAATCTACATAAAAGATTAATTTTACTCTTGAGTTACTGATGCAATTTGCTTTTTTAAAATATTATAATTCATTGAGTCGAGCTGTATAAGAACAATCTGCATAATAGATAATCGGTTAAAAAAAAGTAGACAAAGATCTTATTTACCTGCAGCGCTCCCACAGGGTTACATTCAGATTGCTGGGAACTGTTTGAGGTCTTCATATCTATTTGAGAACTGCAGACAGAGGGGGAAACCTCTGAAACCACATAAACCATTATCTTGCATTTGCTAAATGTTAAAATGTCAGGTCAGTCGGGAATCTATCCAGTACTTAAAATGACTCTGGATTGACATCTGTGACATAACATTTCTGAGATTTCTGACCTGTCTTCATCTACAGACACATCAACTTCGGTAAAATCTTCTTCTCCAAGAGAAACTCCAGCTGGGCCTCCCAGGCCTCCCTTTAGCATCTTCAGAGCAGCCTCGGCTGCTTTGTGCTTTGCAGCTTTCTTGCTGGGCCCTTGGCCGGTGCAGCTGATCTCTCCAACAGAGACGCGGAATGTGAAGTTGGGCTGGTGGGCCTGTCCCTCGGCCTTTAGCAGGTCGTACACTGGGGTTTTGCCTATCCGCGTTCCATACTCCTGCAGCAGACTGATGGGCGTCTTCCCGGGATTCACAGCCAGCATTTGCTCAATACTACGAAACAAGAGTAAAAACCCTGGATGATGCAGTGTAATAGAGATACAATTATGATTTTAGAACATGAAGCATAATATTCAATGCAATGACTTATACCTCTTAAATCTTAGTTTTATTAGTGGCAAACTGATTCTGGCAATAAATAATACTTTTAAGCTGAGAATGAGATGTTTTGAGTTAGACTCCCTCACACGTCAATGTTTTAATTGAAATTTTATTGTAAGTGCATATTTGGCTTTTATGTGTGTGTCTTTGTACGTATGTAATGATGTGATGTAATTTTGATGCCTATCTTGGCCAGGTCTCCCTTGCAAAAGAGATTTTTAATCTCAATGGGTATTACCTGGTTAAATAAATGATAAATAAATAAAAAAATAAAATAAACCCAAATCCAGCATCCCCTGCACACATATTAACCCTTCACAATAAGATCACCAGGAATCCTGGATCCAATATTTGGGACTAAATTAATTAAAACTTAAGAGAAAGTGATGTTGGTCTTTTCCAGCACCTGAAAAAGGACTTGGTAGGATTTTTTTTCTCACTAATATTCCACAGCACCAGCTTATCATAAACATGTGTGCCAGCTTAAATAATAATGATTAAAAAACTCTGTGTGCAGATTACATTAAAATAATTTCTTCAAATGAACTTTAGTGTTTTTATGGTGATTCAGGGAGGGAAGAACATTTCCAGAATGTTAGCAGGATGGAGAAAACTAAAACTTTGCCAAAATAAGAGCAGTTCTGTAAATGCTGAAAAAATGAAATAGACCATCTTACAGAATTAAGATTTTTCTTTTGTTGAAAAATAGCTTTTTTAATGAATCAGGTTATTATTTTATGTTTAACACTGCTTTCAAGACGTTTTATTTGGTATCAGTTATCATTTCCTGAGCTACCTTTCACAAAAGATGGGTAGCAACTAGCTACATTTAATCACTTACATTTACTTGAGTAACTTTTTTGAGGAAAAAAAAGGTACTTTTAGGAGTATTTTTACAGCATTGTGCTTTTTTACAAAGTGAAACTGCAGGGCTCGATGTTAACCATTGCCCGATCGCCCGGGGCAAGTACTTTTTATTGTCGGGAGAGTACAAATTTCATTGCATTTGCAGTGATCGCAAAAAAAATTATTTATCACTCAAAATTACTTTAAAATCACCGACATTAGCTGAAAACGACCCAGCCGGCGCCATTTTTGTTGTTTTGTACACATTCTCGCGTGATTTGAAAAAGACGCGTGATTTGAAAAAGCCGCGAGATTTTCCGCCAGATGGCGTGATTTTTGTCAACCTAGCGGTAATTTTGATGTAGTTACCAAAACTACAAACAAGCTAGAAAGCGCTATCATATGGCAGTCTTCTGTACAGTGGTCATACATTAAAAAATTTTCATTAATTTTTTTTCTCTCAGACATTGGAAAGTGCATTTAAATGTTGTAACAGACTGTTCTGTGTCTGTATGTTAAAGTTGTGTCCATCCCTGTTGCCGGGGAGCGAAAATTCGCTTGGTGTACGGCAGGGGGAGCTTGTGAGTTTTATTTTCTTCTTCTAATACATAACCAAACCTCACAAGCTCCCCCTGCCGTACACCCAGCGAACTTTCGCTCCCCGGCAACAGGGATGGACACAACTTTAACCTAAAGACACAGAACAGTCTGTTACAATGTTATAGAGCTAAACATGTTAAATTGGTGACCTGTTATGTTATTATTATTGTCTTGTTGCTGCATTTATTTTGTCAGGGAAACCTAATCCTGAGTCAGTTAAAAGTCAGGGAATTCTGATATTATGTAAGACTGTGGAAACCCTGTCAGGGTTTGATGTTAACCATTGCCCGATCGCCCGGAGCAAGTACTTTTTATTGTCGGGAGAGTACAAATTTCATAGCATTTGCCCGCCGGGCAAGTGCAGTGATCGCAAAAAAAAATTATTTATCACTCAAAATTACTTTAAAATCACTGACATTAGCTGAAAACGACCCAGCAGGCGCCATTTTTGTTGTTTTGTACACATTCTCGCGTGATTTGAAAAAGCTGCAAGATCTTCCGCCAGATGGCGTGATTTTTGTCAACCTAGCGGCAATTTTGATGTAGTTACCAAAACGACAAACAAGCTAGAAAGCGCTATCATATGGCAGTCTTCTGTACAGTGGTCATACATTAAAAAATGTTCATTAATTTTTTTCTCTCAGACATTGGAGAGGTGCATTTAAATGTTATAGAGCTAAACATGTTAAATTGGTGACCTGTTATGTTATTATTATTGTCTTGTTGCTGCATTTATTTTGTCAGGGAAAACTAATCCTGAGTCAGTTAAAAGTCAGGGAATTCTGAAATTATGTAAGACTGTGGAAACCCTGTATAAAATAACTATGTACAATAATTCTCTAGAAAAGTCACATTATATTAATAGTATTATCTTGTATAAACATACTGTGACTCTAAAATAAGTTATTCATTTGTGACATTGACTTCTATCTTGTGATTTATCTTAAGTTTTTAACCTTTTAAGTTTTTTTTTAGATTTTTAACATTACAATTTGTATTTTTCCAAGCACACAACAGTTTAAAGCAAAGTTTAGTTTGAAAAGAATGTGCAGGAAGGATTGAAAGGCATGTTAACATGGTAATGTAGGCTTGAGTTCATTATCTGAGGCATGCATATACACACCAGGAACCTGTAAAATAAAAAAATACTGAATTACAAAAAAATGTTTAAAAAACAAACATGTTTCATTGATATATATACAAAAATGAATATTAGGAACTATATTTATCAAACATTATACTGGGCAAGTGGTAAAAAACCCTTAACGTCAACCCCTGTGAAACTATAATAAAGTGTCACTAATTTTACCTCAGTAAAATTCTTGAGTGAGTAACTTCACTTAATGAATAAAAGTTTGTTTAAACCAAATCCACAGGACTTTGGCTGTTTTTCTGAAGACGTGGATAAGTGCTGAATCGTCTTCAGAAAGATGAGCGAAAGTCCAGCTACCTTCCAATTAAAGTCAGTTTTGTATTTATTGGTTAAATGTTATTTTCTGTCTTTTTAAGGTTGAGAGAAAATAAACAGTTTACCCTAATTTAAACTATTCTTACATTCTGTGATTAATTATTTTGTAAGTATTATAACTCAGAACATTTATTCTAAAGAGTGTTCATTCTAGGACCGAAACAATCGATTATTGAAATAATCATCAACTATTTTATTAATCGATTAAGATTAACTGGAGTACAGAGGTTCTAAAACGTGTCTTTAGCCACTTAGAGCAGCAATTATATCAAAATTGTAAAAAAAAAAAAAATTTAAAAGCATTTTGCATTTAAGATAAAAAAAAAATGTTTTCGTCTGTCAATATTTTCAATCCAGAACTCCTTAAGTGGAAAGGTTTTAGTTTCACCTGATTTAATTAAGAAAAAAAACCCATCATCTTTAAGGAACCTTTGGTTGTCTGATTATTGATCGATTAATCAAAAAAATAATCGACAGATTAATCAATATGCAAAATAATCTTTAGTTGCAGCCCTAGTTCATTAATTTTAATTTTTATTGTATAATTACAGGATGCTATAAGTTTATTTTTGTTGTTATTCTTTAATAAAAACAGAATTGACATATCACTTAATATTTTGTTTAATGTTACGCCATTTTGTAAAATATTAAATCAGCTGTTATAGTTATGGGTTTATCAGTTGCTTTTTGACTCTTGATTAATTATTTAAAGGCTGCTTTTGACTTTTACTTGAGTAAAAATGTGATGAAGTAGCGCTACTCTTACTTTAGTCCCATTTTAGGATGCTCTACCCACCTCTGCTTGTCAGCAGTTGAATGGGAACTAAAGTCATTAGCAGACAGAGGGGAGGATGGTTATTTAGGTGGGACAAAAAAACGGGACTTTCAGCATAACGTGAGAAGTCAGAAAACATAGCGGCTCAACACTTTACCAGTTAGCTTTACAAATTCAATAAGAGGACCTGCAAAAACTAGACATATCTTCACACATAAATATACACAGTGTAACACTGTGGCACATATTCCAACCAAATCTGAATTGATTTGTCAGTGAGCATGGATGCTGCTCTGGTCAGCCTTACCTGGAGCTCCCGGAGTTTCTCTTCCAGCTCTCCGATTCTGTCTCGTCGTTCATTACCTAAAGCGTGCAGACGGAGCCGATCGGTTTCGGATGGCAAATCCCCCCCACCAGAACATACACGAGCTTTCATTAGACGGTATTTTACTGGCCCCCTCCCCCTAAAAGATGAAGAGGCTAAAACATGATGGAAGGAAGGAAAGGAGATGAAAAAAGAACCCCCTCTGCTTCATCAAACTTCGGCCCACAATGATGACGTATATTGTGACCGCCAGTAAAACTCGACTCGTGTTTTTTTGTTTTTTGTGGTCCAAAGTCTATAAATTAGAACATCATATACATGGTAATATTTTTTGTACACATAATCCGTCCGATTACTACGGAAGAGGATTAGGGCCACTGAAAAAAAAAGAAAAAGTTAAATGATTTTTAAATTTTATTTCAGTTTGATATCAGAATTTTGACTTTAATCTCAGATTTCTGACTTTAATATCAGAATTCTGAGAAAAAAGTC